TGTGAAGGTAGTGGTGAGGAGATTATCATTTTGAAAGGAAAGTCAAATAAAGATCAGAAATCAACTTTAAAAGAACGCTTATGAATATCATTTTCAGATGTATAGACTAAAGTTACTGGTTCATACACATGCATGCACACGCACACGCACACTCACAATCACAAACACGTGTGCGTGCACATATACATACACATAAAACACACATGCACACACATAAAACACATATAAAACACGCATGCACACACATAAAACACACATGCACACATAAAACACACATGCACACAGTGCTGACTGATTCACTGAAATGACAAAGAAGTTCCAGACACCACGCATTGCAATGTGAGGCTGCAGACAGATTGGAGCCTGTGTTCAATCAAGAACACGAAAGAATCCCCATTGCAGAAATTGAATAATCAAGACTTTTTTATGGAACATAACATTCTATTTAACAATAACATATGATTGATTTATTAAGATGTTTCATTCCTGATAGTTCTACTTTCAAAAATAATATTGAAAAATAATCAAGATCACAAATAAACAAGATGAAAGTTTTTTAAAAAGTTTGAACTAAAAAAAAAATTAAGAGAAAATAAGTTTTCCATTATGATACATTTGACAATAGACTTTGGTACTATGGCACTGTGGTATGGTTTTATAACAGAGAAACAAAGAAAGTATAAAGCAGACTATTAAACTTGATTAACATCTATTGAGGAAGACTCACCACAGGAACAACAGGGGAGAGACAATTTGATTTCTTCCTGCAAAATGTTGGCACTAATTATATACCAATAGAAAACTTTATTAGTTTTGTTTCTGTTGGTGCAAGCAATATCACTGATATTTAGTATTGTCTTGAGAGTCAACTTGATGCAAAAATGCCAGGCATTACTGCCCTCAAATGCATCTGCCATTCTGCTCACTTAGGCTTATCACAGGCTATGAAATTTCTTCCTTGCAAAATTTAAAACCTGGTTCAGAATACATAAAGCCATTTCTCACACAGTGCCAAAAGAATACACTATTTCGAAGAGCTTCCAGAATTTTGTACTGTCAGACTATACAAAATCCAAGGAGGTTGTCATACCATGCTGCTGTCACAAGGCTGTTGGAACAGTCGCGACCTCTTAAACTGTACTTTATGAACAGATTACGCAACCATCTCCATTTTAGAAACACTAAATGTTCCTTCCATGCTACTACTTATTTTCAAAGGTGAACTTTGCCAAAACTAAAATTAGAAATACATTTTCACCATCTCCATAGGCATACACAGAAAGTTGCGAGAGGATGTTTTAGATTTCAGCCCAGCTTAGAAGTAATCAGACATGTAAAGAGCCAGTATGTTTAACCAGACCTTACTGAATCTCATGTACATATTGTTAATTTTGTGTTACTGTTGCATACTTTGGCATGATATAATATAATTGTATGGTGTGTGTTTGTTTCTGTATTATTCACATGATTCCTATTAAAACTTCTATTTTATTTCATTCTCAACATTCATGGTCTTTATTTAAATAATTTAAGAAAATGGCTGTGAAAACTAATAACAGCATGCTAGATGGTAACACTAGTGTGCAAGTGGGTGGTATGTGTATTACATACATACATCAGTGATTTGTCAGTATTTGAACACAATTCACTTTGCCTCTCCCCGACACCAACAGGAAATAGTGTTATATGTTGCTGTTGCACAAACCTATCATTAGGGAGATCAAATATGCCTAACTATTTTCTTTGGTGTCTTCTTTTCTAAGGCTGTACATAAAGTGTGGAACAACAACACTAGCACACACTAAAGCCCATACGTAGGATATTATGTCAAGAAAAAATTAAAGTAAATTGAAAAAATAAATATTGATTAAAATTGAGTTTGATTTTTCATGCAGTAAATTATTAAGCTAAAGAAATAGATAAGTTAATAAATATACGTAAAATTTGTGCTAATTTTCACAATATACTGTATCTATATCTTTTCAGTTTTGCATCAAAATAAACTATATTTGGTTTCATTTTATTCCTCAGTTAATTGTCTAGTGCACTGTCTTTCGTGTTTCTTTTATTTTTGTTATCTTTGTAAGAGTGACAAGTAAGAGTTTTTTCTTTCTTTCCCTTCTTTCCCTGCTTTTTCTTCTTTTCTCCCTTCCTTCCTTCCTGCCATCCTTGCTGCTTTCCTTCAATGGAAGAGATGCTCTCAATATATGTTTTATCTGTTCAGTATCAGATGATGATAGACTTATTTAAAAGATTACTTAAGATTATTTCCCTAAATCAAAATGCACTCTAAAACTTTTTTAGCAATATTTGATAAGGTTAAAGTTGTTGTTGTTTTTGTTGCATGTGTCTGATTTATTACCTTGCATATTTTCATCTGTTTAAGTGTTTTTTCTTTCTCTCTTTCTTTTTCCAGTATGTACAGTTTATATAATTCGGAATATAGGCAGAAAGTTAATGTTGTATCTTTACCTTTTCCTACTTTTCTTATTATTTTTATATTTTCAGCCAGAGATTGTGTTGTTATAAGGATTTGGCGAGCAGTGTGAATGTAAAAGGCACTTTCAAGTGTTTTGTCTCCTCCTCCTCTACCCAGTTGTCTTCTTCCTCTCCTCCATCTTGCCTTCTATATCTTCTTCATCTCCTCCTCCTCCTCCTCCTCCTCCACCCTGCTGTCTTCTCCTCCTCCTCTCCTCCACCCAGCCGTCTTCACCACCTCTTCTTCCTCCTGCTCCACCCCCTCCCCTCCCCTCTTCCTCCCCTCCTTCTACTTCTCCTCCTCCACCTACCTTCTACTTCTCCTCCTCATACCTTCTACTTCTGCTCCTACTCCACCTTCCCTTTTTCTTCTCATTTTCCTCCTCCACACTGCCTTCTCATTCTCCTACTCTGCTTTGCTGCCTTCTCATTCTCCTCCTCCGCCTTTGCCACCTCCTTCTGCTCTGTCCTGCCTGCTCATTCTTTTTCTTCTTTGAAAGATTACAGGGTTGCATGCAATTATTTATTGAACCTAAACTTTTACTTCTTTCTTATTATTCCTACTTGTTTTTTGACAAGTTATCATCATCATCATCTGCTTCTTTAGCCAATAGTTTTCCTGTATTCACAGTTGAAGAATCTCGAGGATTCCGGAGATAACAAATCAGAGACCCCAAAAGCCAAGACAAATTTCACGCCAAAGATCTACACTGTCAACATCAGGAATTATTGTAAGTATTACTTTTATATTGTTTTATTTTCAATTTTATCATAATGATCAATAAGTCAGTGATAATCGACAAATTATCAAGAAAATAGCCAGCACAAGATATTTGATACAATGTAATTATGATTATCATCAATGCATAATGACAGTTATTTGTTATTTTTACTTAATATTCATGCTATTACCACTGTTGAGGCTGCTAATATTGCTGTTATCCTGAATATTATTGTTCTGCTCTTTATCTTGTTATTAAAGTATTATTGAAATGTAATGTATATAATATTTTCTTTACATACAGCATGGGATCAGTCGGATAAGTTTATGAAGTTATATATAACTCTGAAAAATGTCCAGACATTGGAAAAGGACAAAATATCTGTCAAATTTGATGAGAGGTAAGCAGCATTTCTTCTTTTATGCAGATTTTGAACAGAGCTTTATTTGATAAATGTTTGAGTTATAATAGCAATGAATAATTCCACAGAGTAAAATTTATATTAAATTTTATTTTGAAGAGTTGATGGTATCATATGTAGTTCTCTTTTGATGATTTTGTTTATTTGAGAATGTATGTGATGTTCCTGTATTGCATCTGTCTCTGATCGAAGGGAATATGGAAATCCAAAGTGCTAGAACAGGTGAACCTCATCAAATTGAAAAAATCATTAGCTAAAAATACATTTATTACATTTAACCAACTAAGAAGTATCGTAAATTATCCTAACATTCCTTAAATATACTTGAGAATGCTTTTATCATGCTACAATTGTACTTGCCTACCTTGCATTGTATCTTGAGAGAGAGTATGTCACTTGCTTGGTAAAAGATCAAAATTCATAATATGGAGTACAGCGGTGTCTATTAATGCATATTATTTGTGCTTTTCTCTAAAGTTAAAAAGATACATCACCAATCTTAAACTAAGGACCATCAAGTCTACAGAACAAATAGAAATACAAGACTCTATAGTTAAAGCAGTTTTAAAATTTTAAAGTTTGGCCACAATTTACCAAATACCAAGCTAATTGCACTTAGTTGTCCAGATTATAGATTTTCATTTTAAAAAGATATTGCTTTGCCTGATGAAATGGAAATTTTCAAGTAGTAGTACATTGTATATTTCATGCTGCAATAAATGGGACCTTTTTTTTAACATATACAGCTGATACATTTACATCTAAGGCATTGACTTTTTATTGTATGTATTAATGACATATTAGACCCTCCTGTGTTTGTTCACTTGGATAAAACTAATGCTTTTTTAATGTGATGAATCAGAATATATTTTTAATCAGTGGTTTTGGTTAAATTTTTCGTAATTCTCCAAAGACTTTTCAAAACTTATATTTTCTGCCATGGGTTGTACAAAAGCCCTCACATGCAGACCATATTTTGCTGTTACATTACACTGATCAACAACTCATAGTGACTGTAATTGCAATCATTCCAGGAGCGTTATCTTACATGTCAGTGAACTAGACAGCAAGAATCACCAGCTCAGTATTCTAAAATTGGCGGAGAACATTAATCCAGATGCCAGCTACCACAAAGTCAAAACAGGTATGTGAGTACTTTAGAAAAATAAGGGTTATGATTAATATTCTGACATGTTTAAACCCCCTAGCCATTAAATTTAATTATGTGTTAATCAAGAGTATATTATATTGCCATAAGCTTTTAATATGAGACGATATTTGCTACCAATTTTTCCTCTTAGTCCTGATAGAGAAACAGATACATTAATCCCAACTTCCATCCATTTTTGCTATTAGATATGGTGGTCCTTTTCCTGGCTAAGCAGAAGCAAATAAAGTGGGAAGGAGTAACAGAAGTGGAGGCTCGTTCTGCCGAGGCACGTAAGCCCAAGCTTGATAGTAATGACCCCAATGCTGGAATCATGGACCTCATGAAGCAGATGTATGTGGATGGCGATGACAAAATGAAGCAGGTATGATCCCCTTTTTTCTTTTTTTCTTTTTTCTTTGTTTTCCTTTTTCCTTCTTTTCTTTTTCTTTCCATTTTTTCTTTTCCTTTTTTTCTTTCTTTCTTCTTTTTTTTTTTTTCTTTTCTTCTTTTTCTTTTCTTTTCTTCTTTTTCTTTTTTTTCTTTTCTTTTCTTCTTTTTCTTCTTTTTTTCTTTTCTTTTCTTGTCTTTTCTTCTTCTTTTCTTTTACACCCTATCTTCCTTTGCTTTTTTCCCTATTTCTTTTCATTTGTTCACTCACTTGGTCTCGCCCTGTCCCTTCTGAGTTTCATTTTTCTCTCTGCACTTCTTCATGCTCATTAATTCTTAGTTGTGAGAGTCCTTTTCAGTAGTCAGATTAATTAGCTGATCTAAATGCATTTGTTTGTTCGAGAATAACAAAGAGTAATGAATTATTCTAGATATGAAAGGGAAGGAGAAGGAGATGCTTTACATTTAGAGTTTGGTGTTATTCCACTTTTGTCTTTTTTCTCTCTCTCTTTTTCTTTTCTTTCATTCTTTTTTTGTCCCCTTTTCATTCTGTCACTTCATAATGCGCTCGGCTGGTCCTTTGCTTCGTATTCTTTTTATTTTCTGAATTTTGTTTTCCTGTTTAGGTATTACAGCATATAAATAATTTGTAGACAAGGGAAGGTATGAAAATGATTGATGCTTGTTGTAGCAAAAGTTACGTAGAAGAAGAATCTCTCTTTAGTCATTAACAATGTATGTATGATCTTTAGAAAAAAGGGAAAATATTCAGAAGTATGAATAGAGAAAAAATATATTTTTTCATAACTCAGGGTACATTTATATTACAGTACATATTCATTATCAAAGTAGTTTTTCATTATATTTTCATATTTCAATATGACATTTTTTATGTATATTTATATTTCCATGTACAGCTACGCAGAATAATATTGTTAGAAAATCATGCTAAACATTCTGAGACAAGCAACGATACTTTTTGAAATGTAGTCATTGATGCTAGGAAGCTGTTGATACCACTGGTTTTCCAACTACTTATGGGTATGTGTTGCTCATCTGAATATTGCAAAACATATTCCATCCCTTATGGGAATAAAAGCTTCATCTCACAACAAATCCATATGCATTCCAGAATGACTTTTCTAGACATGAATTAGAACAAGACAAATTCGAAATCCAAAATACCAACACAACAGTTAAATAAGGTTCTGTTTGATATTGAATGTTTTGACACACCTCCTTACGATAGTTTTCTGTATAGCTGTACATTCATAATTACATTCGCTAAGTAGGTTATGTTTTTGGTTGCGTTAGTTAGCTAGTTATTTTGATGGTTGGTTTGTGGGTTAACCCAATGCCAACGGGTGAAAATGTTTGGCAAGTGGACGTAAGAACGGGATTGTTGGCACACATCGGCTGTTTCCCCTGTTTGCGCCCGGTTCAATTGGTAGTTTGCGAGCAACATTTGGCACCTAAAAGCTTTTATTTTGGTATAATTTATAAAAATTTTATAATTTTGAAGGTTTACCTTCATTATAGGTGCCATTGCCTAAAATCTTTACCATATAAATAAAGCCTCTACTATTGGAGAAAAGCAAACTCCGTCCTGCAAGCCAGTGGCGCAGGAATGGGCATGATACAATGCCATCTGTGTTTCAGTCCACAACAGCCATGGCATGTACATACATGCCACCCATTGGCTAGGAGTTAATAGGATGACTTCAAAAGTTATGAACAGAATTTCATGAAATTTTTACCAGATGTGTCTTAACCCACTAACGCCGGTATATTTTGATGTAATTCTTCGTGTGAATATTTTATTGCATCAGTGACTCTCTTGCCTTGGCGGAGATATGTGCCCTCAGAGTGCTTCTAGTTCAAGATGTAACTGCCCATGAATCTGAAGAAGTTTTTACTAAACAAGCTGTAAATAAAACCACATTGGGAAGACCAAAAAAGAAAAAAAAAAAAAACATAGATATGCAGAAGGCATCCTGTGGAAAAGACCAGCATATCTGTGTGTTTTCTTACCCATCATGTTACCATTTTATTAATGATTTGCCTTACCATTCACTCATCTCCCTCACCTACAGATGTTGAACAAGACTTGGTATGAGAGCCAGCAGAAGAGGATGAGTGGGGAAGATGCGGCGATGCCAGACCTTAACCTCTAAAAAAAGACCGACACCAGCCTTCCTTGAAGGAATAGCAGCAAGGCATTCCACCTAGTAGAGTGAGAAAGCCAACTGGTTGACATGGTTTTGTGGTTTGTTTAGCGTCACCATGACTTTCACTCAGATGTTTTGTTCGTTGCTTGGTTTGTCTGCCTCATGAAGTTGGGGCAAAGAGATTTGTGCTGTGTGAAAGAATTGGGTTCCCCCTCCCCCCTTTTTTTAATGATTGATTATTTTTCTATTACAGTTGTTATTGTTATGGAGAGGGATTTAGAGGAAATTGCTGTCTTTTATCAACTTATTTTTATTGAAAATGCTTTGTAGATCAGTGATTAGCATTCAGTAGCATTTGCTTTTAGATTTTATTATTGTTAATATGATAAAGGTTTTGTTTTCCTGTTTAAAATTTTATCTTCGTTGTTTTTCTCTCTCCATTGATAAAATTAAATTACATACAAATTATTCAGGGACCTGTGAATGAATAGAAAATGTCTGTAAACTGTATGAAATACAATGTACTGTAATAATCCACATGTTTCATTAGTTTCTTACTGAGGATGTGTCACAAAAATATATTAAAGTTATCAGCATTAGATGTTTTCACTTTGCAGGGAGCAGAAAATATGAATACTGGCCTGATGTCAGATTTTAGTTTTTGAAGGTATCCATAACCATATGATATATGTGTATATATTGCTATGACTGGAACTCCTTTTGCATCATTCAATTTTCTTTATATATTTTTTCCATACACTGTTTAATGAAGTACAAGGATTAGTAGATAGTTTTATTTTTAATATCCTGAAATATGGCAGTCAGAGAATACTCTGTGGTGCTAATAGAAGGGAAGCTTCCTTTCTACTTCTCGGATTTTCATCACTTGGAATTGTTGATCTTTTTAACCTTTTCCCCATGTTAGGGTAAAAGGCTGCACCTCTACCCACACAATTCTTTCTTTCTGATAGGTAGATATTGGTCACAGTCCAGTATCAGTTCCTCACTAGTAGCCCAGCATCTTACACAAGATGATATTGATTTGTTAAATCACTGTTTTACCCATTGGTAACCCAACACAAACTTTTAACACAAAGCACTCTCATTTAATACACCAGTGAACAAAGACAAATGGTACTACATGAATTCTACTAATGTATATCATATTATGGGATGGTAATGCACAGAGACAATCTATATCACTCCTCAGTTTATAGTTTGAGCAAAGGTGAAAAGAATTTATTTTAATTTTTTGTGTAAAAAATGAAAATTTGTAATTAAAGTCTTCTTTTCTTGTTTCTCCACATAGGAAACTAAATGAAAAATTTCACATAATCCTCAAGCTGATGAATTGTGTCTAGATATGGATATATGATATGATAAGGAACATGTTATAATGTCACCTCCAGTGCAAAAGTACAGTCAAGCATACTTTTCAGAAATTTATTTCAACATATTCCTGTGATTTTTCCATCTCAACTGGTTTCATATACTGAAAACTACATTAATGATCTCAGAAACTGCCATACAAGAAAACAAATATAGTAAACTTTGGTAGCATGAGACCCGGATATTTTCCATCTAGAAAATTTAAGGAGAAAAATGAGAATCAATATTTTCTGTTTCTCCTGAAATGGAGAGCTTATTCCTAAAATACTTGTGTTTAATCTCTGACTTAACCCACTGCTGGCAGGAAAATGTAGTGTTCACTATAGTATTATTTTGCAAAATGTCTACCAAGCATTCAAATAGTCAACCTCTTGATTTCACTTTCTCTTTGAGTTTTCCAATATTATTATTATTCAGTATGTTACTGACTTTACCAAATATCAGTATGATATAAAAGAAAATATTTTTTAAAAATCAAGGTAAAGGGCAAACAGAGGAGACAGGTTCATTGATGACAAGGACTTGATAAGCACTATTCTCTTTGTAAAAGCTAAAAAGAGGGTTGGCAGTAAATCTAGAAAATAGCCCTTATAGGAATCACAAAGACCATTTAGTTTGCTACCTGTACTTGGTTCTTTTTATTGAGATGCAAGAGTATTTTACAGGTACATGATGATACCCATTTCACAAATAATCTCAGAAGTGCATCTTCATCTCATTGAAAAATAGTATAAATAGGCGTAATGTCAAATTAATCAATAAAGGTTTTGTTTTGAAGATCTACATGATAATCTTTTTCTTTGTGATAATGTAGAAGTGCACATGTAAAACAAACAAGATACATTTTTTTCTCTTTTCTTTTCTTTTTCTTTATTCTTTTTTTTTTTTTTCTCTCTTTCTTCCCTCTCTACCCTTGTTGTCACTGGGGCTTAAGAGATGGTGACTGAGGCCCAATAATGGGGAACACCCCTACCTTAGTCCTCAGTCCTAGACTTAATTAATTTTACATGGTCTTTTCTTCTTCCCTTTTCCATTTTCTTCCCTTCTCCAACCCCTTCTATCAACTTTCTAAGGTATAAAAGTCGTGATGAAAAGAATGAAAGACTTTGTGCCAGTCATGAATGGCCTTGGGGAGCCATATGACATCTAACATATTTTGACCTAATCATTAACTAATTTTTAACCTCTTCACCTCAATACTTTATCATAGTATTGCATGACCTTTCCTTACCTGGTGCTTTGCCCCAAGCCTCACCGTATTGCTAAATCTTGAATTCGCTAAGAACCTTAGATGTTGATGCAGCAGAAAATTTTCAATAAGCGAATAAATAAATATTCCCCTGTTCAGTTGTCTAACCCTTACCCCTTGAGGGGACCCTGAGGGATGGACCATTTCTCTCCCCAATATACTCTAGGCTTACTATGGCTAGTAGTGAAGATATTGTACATAGTACCTTTGTTAGGGGCATTAAGACTTGCCTATTGTTACCTTAGAACAGCCCAAGTCAGCCGCCATCACCCTCCACTCCATCTCCATCGTTACAGTCTTCTGTATCTGCTACCTTATTGGTTCCCTACTTTTTTCAGGAGACCCCAATCGTGCACTCCAGACGTGCCCGCGACCCCTGTCTGTTGTACAACGTATAGGCTTATATTATATTATCATATTTATAAATCCTATAAATATATAAATAATCTGACAAACAAAAATCCACAGTTACTATTATATTTTCTTTATTTTGAGTTTTATCAGAATTCCATAGATTTTTCGATAGTATTTTAAATTGTTGTGTAATCAATCAAAATTTAATTATTAACTGCTGAAAACGTCTCAAAAGTGAGAACTGTTCACGTCTAATATTTTGAGGGCTTGGCGACCACAGGAAAAACGCTTCAGGAAAGGTTGTAACTACCCTCTCCCGGATTTCTTCTCTTCAGCCTTATTGTCCAACTCTCAGCAGTATTATTACTTCACTCAACACCACTCCCTCTTCCACAAGGCCCCCGTCCTTCTACTACCCCCACATCTACAAAGCTTTTGAGCACTCTTTAGGCCAGTAAAATGGGATCGATTTTTTGCGATCCTGTCTACAGCCTCTTACTCTGACAACACTCCTCTTCCAGCAATGCTTCCAAAAACAAGTAGGTAAAGTTAACTTCCGCAGCCGTCCTCTTCGCTCCCGCCTTGTCACAGTTGCATTTGAATCCCAAGCATTATCTACGCTTACTGACTTCACTGGCAAACCCATTCTTGTCCAGCCTCATCCCTCCCTCAATATTTGTACCGAACTATCTCCATCTACCCGGCAGACTGCCCTGTCTAAGGCAAGGATTGATCAGGCTGTGGAGAGGACTTACTCGTCTGCCTCGTTGACAATAATGCATTATTCGTACATTGCCCCTAGGGGTCGCTGTTAAGTCTTCCACCAATATTGCCAAAATTATTTGCCGTAGGCATGACCTTCCCCGTGGTGTTAATATTGGCGAAGAGTCCATCCCTGTACGACCATATAAACTTCCCTCCGTCAGTGTCAGAATTGTTGGCGTCTAGGTCACCCTGATAAATACTGTTGTTCCACTGTGTGCCTAACCTGGCCGACTAAACAGTTCTGCACAATCATGTACGTGTACCAGTTGTGGTGGCTATCATTATGTATTTTATAGGAGCTTCCCTACCTACAAGTTCGAGTCAGAGATGGCAATTCTCAGATTCAAAGCTGGCTTCACTTACGTTAGACCAGGCAGGAAACACGCATATGAGGACTTTCTCTTATTTCTACTCCAGTACTGTACTTCGCTCTGCCCCTCTCCTCCCCCCTCCATCCCATGATGGGTGTACATCCCTCGAGTATCTTTTCCTCATCCAACTTCTATACTCTCCCTCTCCAAGTCAACTTCTTTTGATTTTCTAAGACTTAATCTCTGCCACTATCCCAAATACAGACTCGAATCTCTACTTCCCCGGCCCCTACCTCCCCTCCTCCTCGCTCGACTCACCGCATACTACATGTTAAACATTCCACCCCATCTTCTCCTACCGCATCCTCTCCTATATCAGCCCTTCAAACTTCAGTTCCCTCTTCTCACCCTCATAAACACACCTTCGTTTCTCAGACCTCCCCAACAATCTGTATTTCAGAAATTCTTGAGTACATTCATAACTCTAATCATGACCCAATATAACATGCATACACCTTACCCATCCTCCAACATCTCTGCTCACCTTCCCTTTACACTTAAAGTGACTGCCGACATCAGTCCTCGTGCTATTCATGTTCCTTTACTTGTTTCCACTCCCTCTCAACACATCTGAAACTGTTCTTTGGTCTAATAGCGAAGCGAGCTCAGTCAGCTGGTGGGAGGATCGGAATTCTTCTGAAATTGAGCTGTTTTAGGGGCATTTTTATGCTGGCAACCAAATTTAATTAGTTCTAAAAGTTGTGGGGATTTGGCTGGGGTGGGGGGGGGGGGGGTTAAACAGTCTTGGGGAACTGCCTCCGCCCAGTTGACTCCCTTGATCAGCAATTTTTTTGTGAAGCTTCTTTTTTCGGAGGCCCACCAAGACCCAGGATGTTTTGCAAGTTATCGTAGATATATATATAAAAAGCCACGTATTGCCTGTAGTAGTTTAGGAATGATCTTATTTGTTTACCGTAATGCCTGGGTATCATTGGAATTACGAAAATAACACAATTGTCACCAAAAACCGGTGACGCATTAATGGTAGGTTCAGATGTCAAGAGAAAAAAAATCAGCAAAAAGTGACAGTGTGCAGTTCTGTTGTGTCCATCTACATCCGGTCAGTATTCGACTTGGTTTTTAATCCTTTGTTTTTAATCCTTTGTAACAGCTGTTGGTTACAGCCGTGAAACGAACTTTATATGGCATTGGGAGAGTAGTTATAACAATATACCTATATTCGTAGATAAGTTTGTGACCGAAAATAAGCAGAATATTAGCCATCAGTATCGGAATAAGATCTTGGAAACGAACCTAAATGCACTTCACGAACGTAAACTTATCAGGTTTCATTATGCTGTCTGAATATTGCAAAATGACCGAATGAAAACTCGTGAGGCAGTGTCATAGAAAAAATCTTGTCACTCGTCCGGCGTTGAAGAATTGACGACTTCCGTTGGTGGAACCGCCAAGATTGTGGTCTGTGTGCGTGGTAATTGTGTTAATTATTTGTGTGTGTGTGTGTATGTAGCACTGCTTCTCACCATGTGCGTCATAGCAAATGTGTGTCGCGATTACCCTTAAGTGTGTTGCATAATATTCTGCATAAGTGTGATTCTTGCCTTACACGTTTGGTTTTAAAATTACCTTTGATTCGAAAACATTGAGGACTTTTAGGTTAACCTAGCATAAAGTTTATCATTTTCCAGATACTG